TGCATGTGCAAATGCGCATGTGTATTATGTTGGCAGCTTGGGCAGGAGGAACTGGGGCAGAGGGGGCAGGTCCTTATTCTGATGGCTGTGCCTGTAGTTCTGCCTCCTAGAGACCCTCGTCACTGCCATTGTGGATGAGGTGGGGAATGAGTGGATTCTGCAGAAAAAGACCTATGTGACCTTGGGTGTGGCCGTAGCTGGCTTCTTGCTGGGCATACCCCTTACCAGCCAGGTAAGAATGGAGATGTGGTGGGGAAGGCAGGGTTGCACTTGCCAGGGCATTGGGGGAACGGGTGGGTAGCTGGGCCTGTGGCGCCCTGGCTCATCTGCCCACTGGCTCACAGGCAGGCATCTACTGGTTGCTGCTGATGGACAATTATGCAGCCAGCTTCTCCTTGGTCGTCATCTCCTGCATCATGTGTGTGTCCATCATGTACATCTACGGTAAGTGCCCACTCTTCCATGGTCTCCAGTGTCCCGGTCTCTGACTGGCCCTCTCTCTCCTGCTGAGCTGCTGACCCCCCTCGTCTCTCCAGGGCACCGAAACTACTTCCAGGACATCCAGATGATGCTGGGGTTTCCGCCGCCCCTCTTCTTCCAGATCTGCTGGCGCTTTGTGTCTCCAGCTATCATCTTTGTAAGTTCCTCGGGGGCCCTCCCTGCTCCTACTGCCCCTTGGCCAAGTGTCCCCTTGGGAACTAGCAGGGTGAGAGCAGGAAAACATCCCCCCAGCCAGAGCTCTACCTCCAGCTCCGGCTCTGGGCATCCGAGAGGGCTCGGTAGTCAGATGTGTGCACACTCGGAGGCGCCAGGCCCTGGCCTGGGGTTAGGAAGGGGATATTGAGCCCTTGAAGCCAGTGCTGGAGCTCAGAACTGCAGCAGCTCCAGGGACATAGCCTCACTCCCTTGCATTGCTGCCCAGCTGCCTCCAAGGGTTCTCAGGAGTCGTTGACATTGGTGGGCTTTCTGTCTACCTTACTGCTCTTACCTCAGACCCTCCTGGAAGCAAGCAGGGAGACAGATGGTAGATACGTGGGGATGTGGCAGCGGTCCTGGGCAGCCCAGGACCTTTTGGTGCAGGGCTAGGAGTTTGGTCAGTTCTGAACCTCCAAGGCTGGGAAGTTGGCTGGCTTTGGAGGGAGCATCCCCATTTCCAAGAACATTTATCAGAGCACCGCAGTGGTGGCAGGGTCCCCTGCAAGGCAAGGAGCCAGTCCCTTCCTTGACCCTGTTCACCTTTTAACTTCATGTAGGGTCCCCTGCAAGGCAAGGAGACAGTCCCTTCCTTGACCCTGTTCACATATTAATTCATGCAACACCTCTCGGGGTTATTGTTATCTCCACCCTACAGATAGGAAACTAAGGCACAGGGATGTTAAACAGGCCCACTGCCACACAATAAGGGCAAGAACCCTAGGCAGACCGAACCATGCTACAGGAGGAATGACCTGGGGGCTAAAACCTGGCTCCTTTTACTGCTGGTTTGAGGTGAGAAGGGGGACAGGCTGATGGCATAGTAGTCACTATATAAGAGGGTCAGAGCGTCCACTCAGTCACTGTACAGAGTGTAAGGACTCACTCAGTGGCAGTGCAGTGTCCAGAGTTACCTGTGTCTTCCACAATTTCACGGAATCATGGAGAGCTCTGTGTCAGGCTTCCACACTGGCTCATGTATCTGCAAAGAGGCCCCTGGAGGACTGAGGCCTCCACCACATGGGGTGTGGGATGTTCCTGAGCCTGGCACGGGCAACAGTTTTGGCCACAGGCCCAGCCCTGAGACAGGAGGAGCGCAAGTCTCCTTTCAAGGCTGACAGGCCAGAGAGGGCCAAAGCCACTGCCTAGCGCCATGCCCTCTGGGGGTGTGGCATTGGCTCAGGCCCAGGACATAACCTCCTATTACCTGGGGTCACCCACCAAGGGCCTTGGCCTGGATCCTGTGAGTCCTCTAGGAGTAGAGCTGGAATGAAGCAGGCAATGCCTGGAAAGCCAGGCTGGAAGTACCTTAGGTGAGGAAAGGAATCCAGGCTATGCAGACATACTCATGTTCCCTTTGGGGCTTTATGTGCCCATGAAGCTCCTGACAGACCTTATCCTTCCCTCCTTAAGTCCAATGAAGGAATTCGTCTTTGCATATATTAGGCTTAGCCAACCCAGGTGTGGTGGTGCTCACCTTTAACCCAGCCCCAGGGAGGCAAGAGGCAGAGGCTGGCCAATACCTGAATTTGAGGCCAGCCTGGTCTACACAGAGAGTTTTAGGCTAGCCAGGGTGACACAGTGAGAACCTGCCTCCAAAAAAAAAAAGGGCAGAAAAACAACACACACACACACACACACACACACACACACACACACACACACACACACACACACCAGGCTCTGCTAGGTCAGGAAACTTGTACAGTCTATGTGTGCACCCAGGAAGGATGCCCGAGGTTCAGTGTGGGGAAGGTCAGAGGAACTTGAGCTCCAGGATTCCCCCAAAGGGTAAGAGGCATGTTGAGTCCTTCTAGAGGGCCCTCTGGGTGTGGCCAAGTCTGTTTCTTTTAGATCTTGTGCTGGCTGCAGCCACGGGCACTTTCCAGTCAGTTTACTACCTGACACTCAGCATTTTTAGCCTCTGGGCACTCTCCAAGCTGAATGTCACTGTTACCACAACCGTAGTGAGGCAGGACCTGCTCCTCAACCCCTCCCCTCAATCCCCCACATCTCCTGGCACAAATCAGCTCAAGTAGATAAATGAGATTGTGCAAGGCACCTTACTTAGATCCAGAGTTAATGCAGTCCTAGGCTCTCGCAGGACTGTGGGAAATAAGCCGGGTAACTCTGAGGAAAGCAGATGGGAAATGCCGTGGAGAAGCTTTTAGGAGGCAGAAAATCCAAAAAGGCTTTCTGAAAGAGGTGGCATTCATTGGCTCAGGACTTGACAGGAATGTGCAGATGTGTCTGCAGAATGAATGGAGCGGGTAGGAAGAAATGCTGGGTGTGGTGGAAACTTGAGGCAGGGACGCTGTGGCCAGCGAGATAACAGGTCATCGGGCAGAGCTGAAGCCTAAGGCCAAGGATTTGTCCTTATCTCGAGAGAAGAAAATGGCCGCCCTCCAAAGGTGGTCTCCTGGTTCAGGACTAGAAACACCTCTTTTCCCTTTATGGTGTCTACATGCCTAACCACTCCTGGGCGGTGGGTCCCTCCTGCTTCTTTCACTCGGGTGTTGACAAGTTGCCTTTGCCCCAACCAAAACGCCCTTTACTGCCTTGGGAATCCGGAGAGGAAGGGTTGCTGCTGGGAGGGCGAGCCTGGCGTCCAAGCCTGGGGTCCAGGAGGGGCTCTGGCCAGCCTCACGCCATCCCACCTCTACCCTCTGCAGTTCATTCTCATCTTCACGGTGATCCAGTACCGGCCAATCACCTACAACCACTACCAGTACCCGGGCTGGGCCGTGGCCATCGGCTTCCTCATGGCTCTGTCGTCCGTCATCTGCATCCCCCTATACGCGCTCTTCCAGCTCTGCCGCACAGATGGGGACACACTTCTGCAGGTGAGGCATGGAGAAGGGCTGGCTGGGCAGCCAGGCTAAGTGGAGACACTTTGAGCTTAAGGGTTCTCTTCTGACTCACTCTTCTCACTGCGCCCTCTGCCTGCAGCGTTTGAAAAATGCCACAAAGCCAAGCAGAGACTGGGGCCCTGCCCTCCTGGAGCATCGGACTGGGCGTTATGCCCCCACCACAGCCCCCTCTCCTGAAGACGGCTTTGAGGTCCAGCCGCTGCACCCGGATAAGGCCCAGATCCCTATGGTGGGCAGTAATGGCTCCAGCCGCCTCCAGGACTCCCGGATATGAGCACAGTTGTTGCAAGGGGAGAGGTCCCGCCCCCAACCCTTGCTCCCACCAGAGACTGGGGAAGGCAGTGGACAGGTGTGACCGCCTGCCCCATCATGCCCTGGCCAGGACAGCTGCTGTCACCTTGGCCACCACTGCTAGTGCAGACATTTGTGCTCATGTCCCCAGTGTTTACATGTCCTTCGGATGCCAAGACAGCAGTTGGGGGTGGGAAAGCAATGGGAGGATTGCAGTGGGGGTGGGGGTGTCCAAAGCACTTTGGAGGAGGTCTCAGGCCAGGTCCCCAGAGGCCTGCCGGGCTTCAGATGGCCTCTGATACCCTCATACTCTGCCCTGAGCTGTTTGACTGGGGCGTAAGAGGTTCTGGTTCCACACCCCACTTGTTACCCTCCAGCCTCATGACCAGTGTTCCTGACCGCAGTCTCTGCACCTGTATCTTCCTGCTCGGGACAAGGCGAGGGGCTACGGGCTCACAGTGTTCCTTAGACTGTACCACCCAGCCCTGTTTGTGTAATTATTTTTGTAAAAATGGTATCACCTGTGGTTGCCACCCCCTACCCCAGCCTTGGGTCCAGTCTGTCTTCCAGGCCGGCCTGCACCTCACTTGGCTGCTCTGGTTGTCTGGCCCAGCCAGCAGAGGCTGTGACCCAGCAGCCTGCCCAAAGCACTTATGGAGAGAAAGAGAGGGGACTTCCTCCTGAGAAGTTTGAGCCCGGAGCCCTGGGGAAGGGGACCCTGCACGACATTCCCTGTCCACCCTCCGCCAGGTTGAAGGCCCAGTCTTCCCAGACGTGCTACCCCCGTTCAATGTGCCAAATGGCCCCAGTCCACGTGCCCCCCCCCCCACCTCTGCAGTCAGAGCTCCTTCTCCCAAGCCCTGCAATGTCCGTTTGTCCGTCCTCTGTGCTCTCTGCAGTGACAGCCCTGGCCAAGCCACCTCTAATCCTCTGTAGCAATAACGGTGTGCCGCCCGCCACTGCCCATTGTGCGCCACTAGGGTTTTAAAGTCCATAGATTTTAATGAAATTTCTATTCCTGTCTCTGAGCTGCTGCTGTGCTTTGTCTGGGTCCCTTGGGGACAAAAGTCAGGTTGGGATGGGACCTCTGTTTGCCAAGCCCCTGTGGAGGCCTGAGTGGAGGAGAGGGGCCAAAGGCTTTCTTTGATGGGTAGAACAGGTGTCCTGCCACTCAGTCCTAGATACAAGTGACCTGGCAAGGGGTGGGGCTGGGACCAAACTAACACACAGCTTTGTGGGGTCTGTGAGCTCATCTGAGAATGAAGCAGAAACCGGTAGGAGCTGTGGTCGCTGGAGGTAACAACAGATGGGCAGGGTACAGCAGAGGCAGAAGCCTGTTTTGTGACCGGCCCTTCAGGTGGGAGCCTGGGATGCCGCGCTGGACACTGATGTGGAAGTTGGCTCTTCCCAATAGCTGTATCGAAGCTGCCGTCTCCAGCGTTGAGTGGTTGTCCGACCTTGAGGGTGGGGGCAGCGCTCCGAGGGAGGTGTCGGCATGTAGCCGTGGAGACAAGGAAAGGGTCTGAGGCCTGGAATGGACCTCAAGGGCTTCTGCCTGCACAGGGTGGGTAGCTGTGAGGTGACCATGACCTGACCCTTCACACTACCCTCTGCCCGCCCTGTGTTTTGGTGTACCTGTGCTTGCCAGAGACACAGGAAGGTCCCAGAGAGACCTGTAGCTCCTGTTCCATGGCCGCCTTCTGTTCCTTTATCTCTGAGGAAGGGTATAGCTGAGGCAGCACCTGGCTCTTCCAGAGTATGTATAGTATACGGGAAGGTAGGGGCAGGGTACCCTGGGGGATTGCCTGGGGTCCTTACCTGCCAGGGTGGGCTCTAGGGTGGCCTTGGAAGGCTGGCAAGACTGCATCTGCTCCATTTCCAGACAGTGCTGTGGAAAGATCCGGTTCAGGGACCCTGCCTAAAGGTGAGACCAAGAGCCCTAACGTAGGGCTCAGGAGCAAGACCTTGCCGCCTGACCATCATGAACGCATAGCCCGTGGAAAGCCAAGCTTAGCAAGATGGTAGCTGGGCACTCCAGAGAGGAGGCCAGAGACCTGGGGCTGTCAAGTGGGTTAGTCTAAAACTGCTGACCATGGCCCCTGAAACATGAGAAACGGGTGTAGGACTCACACAACCTTGACATGCATGTAGGTACACAGACACACAGGTGTGATCCCTGCTAAGCAGAGAACCTGGGGGAAGGCTCAGGGCTGTGCTCACCTGCAGGTCAGAGACCTCTCTCTGCAACATGTGACACTCCTCCTCCAGGAGGCTCCTAGACAGGAGCATGAACAGCCAGACCCTGTGAGGCAGGACCTCCCCAGCTGAACCCGTCACATGGCCCCAACCTCCAGAACCACCAGGAGCCACATCAGCTCCTCCATTCTCAGACCATGTTGTCCTCTGGATACTGCCTGGGCATAGCCTTCCAGCGCCCACCATTTCTAGTCACCTCAGTATTTGCAGCCCAGCAGGCACTCTCCTCTCCTGTACCCTGGCAGTGAACCTGTGGCTCATCCTGCTTCCACTAGCCCCCACATCACAGCCTGCTTACCACCCTCCCTTGGCTCCTCTTGTGCCTAGGGCCCTGGCCCCTCCTGGTCTGTACTTGGCTGCTTGCTGGTACTGTGACAGTGCCCACCTCAGACAGACAGACAGACACACACACACACACACGCACGCGCGACAGTCTACCTACCTGCACATCCCCTTTCAGGCAGTCCCAGCCCCTTAAGGTCCACCCCTCTCTTCTTACCCCCATCTACACACACTCAAGTACTCCTAGGCCTCCTCACCTCAGGTGTCTGGCAACCTGGTCAATGTCAGACACATTCAGTTGGTCCTTGATGACACTGAGGTCCCTGTGACAGCTGCTGACATGTGAAGTTAACATCACCCCCTCCATGTTGCTCATTCTAGTCCTTCAGGGAACAAATGCCACTTCTAGATAATTTTGTTTCCTCACATAGGCAACATAATATAATGCAAACAATAGTTCCAGAGCCCAGGCTTGCACATGGATTCCGCCACCTTCACTGTGTGACCTTGGGGACATTATCTTTCTGAGACTTTTTCTTTGTCTAAAAACTGGGGACAATGCTCAGCTTATAGGACTGTAGGGGGATTTGAATAAGAAATTGGCTACTTATGAACATGAGCCCATGCATTTTCTCATTCTGTCCCCAGCTGAAAATGTCATTTGTCCCCTCCTTTTAGCTCTTTTTGTACCTCTAGTCCAGGCCTCAATCTTGTTCACTAGGCATGAGAAGAACCGCTCACTGGACACGGCCTCATGTCCTCTCTCTGCCTGCAAAAAGTCCTCGCCCCTGTATTTGCTTGGAAAACTGCTCCTCATACTCTAGGACCCAGCCCTAAGCAGCCAATCTCCCAACAAGCTCTGTCTGTTCCAAGCTGGGCAGGTGTTCCCTCAGGACTTCCGCCCTATTACAAGTGGCTATAAAGTGTCCAGCCCCAGAATGAGAACAACTCCACAGAACTGGGTCCGGTGCATCAACTGCCTGGGTCCTTCTGCCTGGCAGGGGCAGAGCCCCCCTCTTTACCATCACTTTACCTGGCCTCACCAGCTCTCATCTGGGATAGTTCCTGTTGTGTTGAATCACACCTGGGCTCCTCTAAGGCAAAGCGAAGGACCTTGGGACTATACTGGGCCCACGCCTGGGTCTGGTCCCTGAAAACATATGCATGAAGGGACCTGAGGGCCTCCTCAGGAAACCACACTGGCTCTTAATCAGGGGCAGCCCATTTGATGTAAGGTGGCCAGGCCTAAGACTCCCACCTGCCCTCATAGACAGCCTTAAAGCGGAGGCACTGGAGCAACTGTCGGAGTTCTTGGCGCATGATATCCCTCAGGAGGGGTGGTGGTGCCAGAAGGGAGGGAGGCTCAGAGACCAGGTGGGATCCCGAGGCTTGAGAGGATCGAAAATCTTGGAGCAGTGCCTTTAACGTCGCCACCTGCAAGGAGAGCTGGGGCACCTTGCCACTGGGGCAGAGGGGTGTGTGTGTGTGTGTGTGTGTGTGTGTGTGTGTGTGTGTGTGTGTGCTGGGGCAGAGGGGTGTGTGTGTGTGTGTGTGTGTGTGTGTGTGTTGGGGGGATTGTCAGGGATGGGGGGAGTCAAACGGGGGAGAGAAAGGGCAGACCGTGTAAACAAGGTGTTAGGGGGATCACCAAATAGAGCTAGGGAACTGGTGGAGGCAGGAAATCACGTGAGTTGTAGGGGAGGCCTGGAATGCGACCCACCCCCACCCACCGGACTCCCACCTCCTCTCGCAACTCCAGGCTCAGATCCACCGCTGCCTCCCCCAGAATCCTCTTCACTTCAGGCCGCTCCGGGAGTGGAACATGCTCCTCCACCAGCTCCCACAGTGCTGGGGAGTCCCAGGGCATGGCCTGCCTGCGTCGCGGCCCCCTTTTCAGACCTATGAGACCGACTGACCGCAGGTCAGAGTGCTAGATTTCCTGGGAGACCGATGGTTGCTCCGGACCAGAGCCCCGCCCACCGAGCCCCGCCCATTGACTTCGAGGCCCCGCCTTGTTCTGCCTAAGTCCCCACACTGGAATCGTGCTGTCTCTTAGAGGCCTAATTTCGGGCCGACCCTCCTGGGTCCGGGAACCTGACCACCTGTGGGGAAAACCAAGCTGTGGGAACCGGGCCTTAGCCCCTTCCCTCCCAAGAGGCGGTCACCTGGGAAACCACCGAGCCCCAGGATCGTCCTCGAGAGAGGCCCCGCCCTGCTCACGGTAGGTGAGCCACAAGCTAGTCAGCTAACATTTGGGCTTACCCCGGGACACCTTTCTACTTCGGAGGAAGTAGAACTGAGAATTTGGTCCTGCTGGGTTTCATTATTTCCTTACCTTACTACTAGCCTGAAGGCAGGATCAAGATAAACTTTCTCCCACGTTTATTAAGTCCCAAGATGGCCCTGGTCAGGTCACCTCCCCCAACACAAACTGGCTTCGGCGAGCCAGATCCCATTCGCAAACAGACATAGAGCTGCTCCATTAACGTTTTTTACTAAAGCACCCACACAAGTTTCTGTGCAACATATAAACATTGAGCAGGCCCTGGGGCTTCTGCCTCCTCTCTAAGACAGGGAGGCCAGTACCATTGACTGATCCAAGCCCCACCTGTCCCCCATGCAAAGGCCAACCCCATGATCCCAGGAAACGCAGCACCCCTTCTGGCCCCCTCCTGGGGGCACTCCTCAGTAGGTGGCTTACCAAAGCTTGCCCCCTACCATGTTGAAGGAAAAAGGTTCCCCTCCCCTGGAAGCATGAGGGATACCCAGATCTGAGAACTCCCCCTGGAAGAAACGCTGCCCCCTAGTCAAATCCTCCCACCTTTCCAGGCCCTAGGGGACTCAAGGGGGGTGGGAAACTGAGGCACAGAGGTGGAGTGACCTAGCCCAGGCCACTCCGCGAGGCAGTGCAGGGGCTGGCCCAACCCTAATAGTGAGGAGGTTTGGGCTGGGGGAAGTAGGGCAGGAAGAAGGATTGACCTCAGAGAGGGCCATTAAGAGGGGCTTGCCCAGAAGCCCCTCAAAGTGGGTTCTGAAACTTCTAGGTGCAGCTGGCTGTCTATTAAGACCTTCAGAAAACAGCTCACAGTCTCAGTCTTGGGGGACACCCCCGAGCAGCTGTCAGACAGGCTGTAGGTCAGTCCTCTGGCAGGCAACCCTCCACATCAGAAGGGCATGGAGGGCCTTTGTCGGTCAGTGTCAGCCTTGATTGAACCAGGACATGGGCCGTCCGATGTCCACTGTGATGTTGGTGAAAAGTGGCTGCCGAGACACTTCCAAGACTCGGTACCCGCACTGATCCAATGCCATCCCACTTCATGCTCATCTTTGTGTTCTGAATCTTACTAAACCTAGAAAGGGAAATGAGTTCAGATCAAGGCTAACAGTCTGCTCTATCTTGAATCTCTGGGGCCAAGGCACAGGCCATTCTCTCCCTTTAGAGACAGAAGCCCATTGCTCTTACATTTTCTCTCAAAACGAAGACCTCACTCCCTTTGGTCAGAAAGCATAACTATAATATTCTCACAGGTCTCTCCATTCAGACCTTGATCATATATATAAATTTTTATTATTACGGGGGCATGTGTGTAGAGGTCAAAGGACAATTATGTGAACTTGGGCCTTTCCTTCCCCCTTTACATGGTTCTGCGGATAGAACCCAGGACTCCGGGCTTACCCAGGAAGCACCCTTACTCACTGAGCTATCTTGCTGGCTTGACTGTAATACTTGAGGCATTCCCCATGCCCCTCCACTGTAATACATATCCCCTGGGAGACATGTCATCTTTACTCTCCTGACCCCTGCCATCTCTGTCTCTCTTCCATTAGTAACTCCTTCTACATCGGCTCCTCTACGCCAGACTGCACTCTGGGTTCAGGGACACAGCCATGAACAGGACATGCAAGGTCCTTTCACTCACAGCAAGCTTGCCTCACTAAGGGAGAAAGACTCGAGGCCAAGGAAACATCAGAGCGCTAAGGGTACAAGGTGAGTGGTTATCTTGGGAGAAGCACGTGATGCTAAGCTGAAGGCAGAGGGAAGAGCATTTTATGCAGAGGTCGGAGCACACAACAAAGGGAAAACAGATTAAGACTAGCTTGTCGGTTAGAGCGTGTATGGGCAGGACTCTCTAAGTCATAATAAGCACTTCATATTCTGTAGCAAGAAGACACCATGGGATTCTTAACCCAGTTTCGGCAGAAATGTAGGATGGACTATGGAAGGGCAAGGAGGAGGCAGGAAAACCTCGCAGCTGTCAGGGCAAGATCACAGAGACCAGACTAAGGTAAAGGGGGAGAAGGAGATAAGCAGATGGGCTCAGATGCTTTGGGGGTGGTACTGACATGCTTTGCTGATGATCTGAACATGGAGGGTGGAGGGAAGAATCCTGGAGAACTCTTAAATTAAGGCAAAGCATATTAGAACCACCATCCAGACTTCCTTAGCCCAGAAATTTCATGCTGTCTAGACATAATCTACACCCAAGCAGGCATCACTAATTGATGACCAGCTAATTCTACAATGAGACCAAGGCTCCTGGCATTTATCTGCCTGTCATCCCTTCCCTGCTGACTATGGTTTCATCTAAACCACATGCTTTTCCATTGGCTCCCTGGACTCCTGGGGGTCTCATGCTTCTACCAAATTCCAGCCCCGTCAGCCCACAATCTGTCTCTCCATTCCTATAGTCCGAGTTTAGAGCAGAAAAGTCAGGGGACACAGAAGTCCCAATGGTCCTCCTTCTGCCATGTCCCCTTCAGTTTTATAAATTCCTTTCATGAATTCAGGCCTGGTTAATTCTCCCTAGGTCTACCCAGCAGCTAGGCCATTCCTTCACCTTCCTTGAGCTCAGAAAGTAAGTCTTCCAAACAAATTAAATGGTGTCTATCCCTGTTCAGGGACTTACCGGGACTCTCAGGGCCCTCTGGGAAAAAAGTTAAAACTCTCCTCGTACTCAACTACACAGCACTGATGTCCCTACTGTGGCTCCCAGCCTTCATCTGTCTAAGAACCAAATAGCTTTAAGGTTTCCGTATATGCATATATGCTCATTCTGGCTCTTACGAAGACAAGTCCCTACATCCTCTGGCCTATTCCATCAGCCAGGCAATACAGCACTGGTGAATATATGCCCAAGGGAATGTGAGGCAAATTCCAGTGAATAAGTAATTTTTCAAGGCCCAATTTATGTTCCCACTACCTCACTCCTTTCTCTGCCAGGAAAGCGGCTGGCTTCTATGACCTGTGGCATAACTATTTTCCTTGCCTAGTGTGAGCCTCATAAAGGAGAGCAGGACAGGGATTGGGTGTGACTCCAGAAGGTTTGGCACCACTCAAAGACCTAGGAAGCTCAAGGAGTCTTTGCTTGTATTTCACATGCCTATCAGACCTTTCCCAGCCAGCCACAAACATCCAATGTGGGGCTCTCAACCCTAAAAGGAGTTGGCTGCTCTGAGTGGTTGACACGGTCTCAACTCTCCCTCCGCGTACTTCCTCTGCTCGGCGCACCTTTGTTGAGTTCCTAGGCTCCATGGCCAGAACCCACTACCTGTCATCTTATCTGCTTTGACAAGGCCAGTATAAGTAGGGGTCATCCAAGGTACATAAGTGGGGTACTTGAGGGCACTAATGGAAATGCAGTCTATGCAATGACAACCCAAGCTGGAATTTAAATTCTAGTCACCTCTAGGAACCAATCCAGGGGTGCTGGGAGTCACCTTTAGCGGTCAAGGGTCAGGAGCATTAGGGTCATTTCTAGGGAATCAGCTGCCTCTGAAAGGCACTTCTCATGAGCCAAGGATGCTCAGAGGCCTCCTTTATGGGGTCAGAGATGAAAGGCATTTGGGATAGTGGGAAGTTACCTCTAGGGAGCAAGGGATCAGGGGCACCTGGGGTCAGGGGTGCTGGGGTCACCTCTGAGGGTTGGGCTCGTTATGCTTGTCCCGGTCGTGCTTGATCATGCGGTAGCGGCCTATCCGGACATCTGGGCGCGAGATCTTCATCCCAGTCAGAGAGATCCTAGGACGGGCAACAGGCACCAGGGCAGGTGAGGAGCCCCACCCAGTCGGTGACTCCTCGTTCCCTGACCCAGCCTGCTCTCGGCCCCACCTCTACTTACCGGTTGAAGATGTCATCATCCTCGCCGCCCCAGCCCCAGTACTCGTTGGGAAAGCCGTTGATCCTCAGAAACTGGGCCTTACTCAGGCCCGACACACCTCCGAAGTAGCTCGCGTAGGGCAGCCTATGACACGGGAGAGCGGGTGTTAGGGTCACGAGGAGACTCAAGGTGCACGATCACAGATGGTGTGCGGGGAGAATGTGTACCTACAACCCAGGGAAGAGCGACATTTCACAGAAGGATCCGAGGCAGGGGCCAGAGGCTCGGAAGACACTGAAGCTGGAACTATGGGTCTGGGTGAAGTGGGGGGTGGGTAGGTCCGACTCTTCGCTAAGTAAGTCTCACCGGAAGCCAAACTTGTCCATGGCGATGGCAAAGTGGCGGGGCTGGTCACCACAACGATACAGATTGCGGTCATCCATAGGGACCAGGTCCACATCACTGAAGATGAAGCAGTCATAGGTAGCGTCCTCCTTCAGCGCCTCTAGGAAGCCTACGTTGAGCAGCTTGGCCCGGTTGAAGGTCTCCTCACCATGCTGGTGGGTGGGTGGATGGGCACAGATCAGCTCTGGGTCCGTAACCAGCAAGTACCTGCCACCTGCGTTTCCAGCATTGTCCCCGACTCCCACAACTCCCTCAGAGTCTCAGGTTGATTTCCCATTCAGAGACCCTTTACAGTTTGGCTCCAGTCTCCAATTTGGTATTGTCAGATTCTATGGCCCAACCATATTATATTCCTTAGGCACCACAGAACATGGTGGACTTTTTGTTACCGGGCACTGGAGGTGGTTAGCAGTGCCCCTATCTTGAATGCAATGCTCTAGTAGTCAAACTCATGCCTGCAAAGGCCGACTTCTGAGCAAACCTCCAGGCCCCGTTTATACCGGGGTCTACTGAACCACTATAGAGTGTTCGCCTCGTCCATTCAAACATGCCCCGTGACTTTCTTTATGCCACATGAGCCGCCTATGTGCCGGTGGAGAGTCTACAGATGAGTAGCCCCGGTCTACCTCCCTACTGAGCCTACAGTCACGACATGACACAAATCATGAATGCCCTAAGTGACCAGCACTGGAGCAGCTCCTCTGGCCCATTTCAATCCACTTCCAATTCCCTGGGCAGCCTGAGACAACACAGGACTGTGCTGGATGATCCTGTGTTCCTCTCCCGCCTCAAAAGAGACAAGCAACAGGCTATATATAGGCAGTCACACTTCTGTGAGCTGGGGACCCAAAGAAACAGGACTGCCGGGCTTTTGGCTATACAGGCCCAGGTGACTCTGGACAGAGAGGGGTGGATCTGACAAGAATTGGCCCCTCGGCGTCTGCTACAACCCATACCAAAGACAGAAGCCTCTGGAGCTGGCATCTGTGAGTGGGTGCCTCACCAGGAAAGGAGAAACAGTGGCCTCTCCCGGCCCTGGCCAAACCTGATAGGCAGGAGCTGCTCCTGGAATACTGACCTGACCAGGACACCGGCTCACTGCCTTCCTCTCCTTCCCCACACCTTCTCCTCTACCAGCCCTTAGAGGGATTAGCCGTTTTCTCCCAACCCCTCAGTGTTCTTCCAGTCTCTCTCTCTCCAGCCAGGAGCCCTTGGTCTTTCCTACACGGCTCATAAACACGCTCAGTTTTCTCTCTAGAGAAAAAAAAAAAACAACTAACTTCCCTCCCACCATCCCCCTACCTTTTGCTTTCCCGTCTCAGCAGAGATTTTCTTTTTCTTTTAAGAGTTGTCTCCAATTAGTTATTTTGTCAAATCTGATTCCTTCTTCAACCCACTGCAATCTGCTACCGCCCCCATCATGCCCCTGAAATGGCTCTCACTGGGCCCACCTTGTTGCTAAATCCACTGGACGCACTCGGTCCACATCCCGACACTCCCCCGCGGCACTCACACAGCTGCCACACTTCCTTCCTGGCTGCTGGGCTTCCAGGATATCCCTCTCCAGGCTCTCCTGACACTCTCCGGTCCATCTTCTGGGCCTCTGTGGCTGCTTTCCTTTCCCCATCTAACCCTTCAATGATGCCCTGCCCACCCCCAACACTCCATGCTCTGTAGGTTTGAAGAACCTTCTAGCTGGTGAGATAGCTCAGCAGATACAGTAATTCCTGAATAAGCCTGACGACCCGGGTTTGATCCCCAGCACTTCACAAAGTTACCCTCCAACCTTCCAAAGTGTTCTACGGTTGGTTATTCACACACACACACACACACACACTAAAAAAAACTAACCCATCTCTACATTATGGGCTGGTGGGGTAGCTCAGTTGGTAAACCATTTGCTGCACAAACCTGACATCTGAATTTGATCCACGGAACCTCAAACCCAAAACCCATGTAAAGGGGGGAAGGGAAGAACTAACCCACAATGTTGTCCTCTGATCTCCACATGGGTGCCATGGCTTGAGTGTGTATATACACTCAATAAACACAATAAAGGAAAAAACGAGCTGGGCAGTCTGGGCTCCCATGCCAGGACTCGGGAGCCTGGTCTACAGAGCGAGTTCCAGGACAGCCAGGGGTATATAAGTGAAACCCCTTCTCGAAAAACAAGCAAAAAACAAAATAAACAAAAATGTCTACATACTAGTGTTTCCATATCCCCGTCTTCATCACAGACCTCCCTCCTAGGTCCAGACTTACAGTCTGTCTGCAGAATGCCCCTCCTCTACTTCCCCAGGCTCTCAACACTCCAGGCAAGGCAGCATCCCCAGACACGCTCCTCCAGATGTGGCCTGGCTCCTATGTTCTCCCATCCCACTCACAGGTGTAGCTATGAACAGAGCAGACGCCAAGAGCAGACAGCAGACGCCCTTGCTTTGTTTGGACATCTCCTTTCTCTCCACTTTTACAGTCTCCCTTTACCCCATAAACTGCCCCGCCCATAAGCACATTCACCAAGGACTCTTTTTTGGCTATTATAATCTCTTCCTAATTGGTCACACTGCCTCTGGGCATCCCTCCCTCCTTTCTCCACATACAATCATGGCCACATCCACAGGTTACTCCCACTTCAAACAATGGTGTCCCACCAGTTCAGGCTAGACTTCACTGCCAAACATACCTCTCAAGCTCTTCTCGATGTGGCCTCCCCCAACTAACTATTCCTCCAGCTAACCGTTGCTACCCAGCCTGTATGCTGAGCTCCACCCCTCAGCTCAGTTCCTAAGGGCAAGAGATCAGTTCTCTTGCTAAGCCCTGGTCTTCCAGGCCCCTCCTCCTAGAAGGGTCACCTCCCCCTGCTACCGACTGGTCTCTGACAACTGTAGGGCTGAACCAGGCCTCTGGGTTCCCACTGCACTTACTCCAGTTCCAACCATATACCTTCCTCCTTATCAGGGCCTCTCTGAGACCAACGCCACTTCTAGCCAGAGCTAAGATGCTGTACTTAATGTCTCAGACTTCATGTATTTTTCAGGGTCTAACTCTCCCTCTGTTAAGGCCCTTGACATTGGGTCCTAGTTGGTGCACACTAGGCCTCTACCACCTTTGTTCTGACATCTCTTTTCTCTCTACTGTTTTACAGTGACATCCCAAAACACTGTACACACAAGAGCACATGCCAACATTTATATGCTCATATTCCCTTCCACACACGTAACCTTCCTGTGTTCACTGACAGACGTGTACCCCCACCCCCATATCCACGTAGACTCACACAACCATGAACAGGCAAGGACCCACAGATTTCTCCAGCCTTATGTGTGCACCAACAGGCACATGGCCCCCCATATCCCTGAGCAGGCACATGTTACATGTGCATTCCTTGATGGCTAGTGCTCAGCCAGGGACCACAGACCACGCACCTGGTTGATGACATAGATCCCGTAGCGCAGCCGCTGCCGCCTCAACATGGGGTGCAGATAGTGGAGCCAATAGCGTAGGTGGTGCTCCCGGTGTCTAAAGGGGATGATGACTGCCACCGTTTGGGCTGGGGTGCAGTCAGGTGGTGTATAGCGGCCTCCCAGGAGCACGCCTGGGTTCTCCCTCTGCACCCGCTCCAGAGGCATGGGTGAGGTGAACTCGATGACCACTCGGCCCACTGCAGGCAGGACAGTGTCAAGAGTCAGGGCCTTTGCCAGAATCCAGGGACACTAGCCACCTGGGAGTGGGCAACAGAGCCCCAGGAATAGCCCTCTTTCAATAGCTCTGGAGCCTCGGTGCCCCCATGGTCCAGCACTCCAGTCCCTAGTCACACTGGTAGGATCCTCTTCCCACCCCGACAACAGGTAGGCCCTACTCTACAGGCTCACCAAGACCAGGTGGCACGTCAGGACAGGGTGGGATGGCTGGAGCTGTGGGGCCAGGCTGGGCACTGGGCACTTCAGGAAGCCCAGAGCTAGCGGCAGTGGCATTGGGCCGAGAGCAGTTGGTGCTGCTGCTGGCTGCAGGGTAGAGGGCATGGGCTGGGCTTCGGGTACTGAAGCGGCTGAAAAAGGCCAGGTGCTGGGCGTAGACGTCAAAGTAGAGGATGACAGCCACAAGGAAGTGCAGCAGGCAGAGGAGGAGCACAGCCTTGCAGACCCGCTCCAGCGTCCCCCCCAGCAGTCTGCTCATCCCGCAGGTGGCCAATGGCCTGCCCAGTGGGCCCAAGCATCTGGCTGCCAGCCTGAACAGGGGGAGAGAAACAGATCCCACAGGTCAGGGCAGGACAGGTAATGCCACCCACCGGCTTCCTACTCGGCTGCTCATTCACAAACCCCTATTCTCACTTACCTTTCGCATACCTTGAAGCTCATGAATTTGTTTGTACACAACGGTCCCTGGCGACTCAGTGTCTGCTATCCTAGACACACCCCAGCACTAAGCCACCCATACATACACACAAACCCTCACTGTACAACTCCATACACCCATACTCACATCAGTGTGGGCAGGTGAACTTGATTACACAGGATTGCATCTCAGCACCGAACCACTTTTATCTACAGGCTCCATCTGTGCCCCAGAGACCAGATACCTCACAGGATAGAATTCTCAACCCAGGACACATGGTTTAGGGAATGATCGGTTACTGAGTGCCTATCATATAGGAATACTTCACACTATGATTTCATTTAGTTCTTGCAAGGGGTCCTGATGGGAAGTCATTCAGACCTATGGCAGGTTTGGGCATTCAGGTCCTAACAGTAAGAAGGCCTGACCAACTGGGACCAGGTTGAGAAGGGGCATTCAGCATTTAGGGGTCCCAAAATGGAAAGGAAGTTTCAAAGGATCCTTCCAATTGGAACAAGGGGTGAAGTATAGTGCAGGGCTAATAAGAGACAGCCCTCACCTAAGATCTTAGGCTGGCTCTGGAGCCTCATCAGCAAAGTTAGTTCTCGTTTCTGAAATGGAGTATGCTTGGGCCCTGGAGGAGTAAAGTTCTTAGGATGGCAGAGGTGGACGGGGGTGGAGGTGGTGGTGGTGGTGGTGGTGGTGGTGGTGGTGGTGGTGGTGGTGGTGGTGGTGGTCGTGGTCGTGGTCGTGCCTGTCTGTCTTGCTTGGGTCAGAGCACCGCTGTAGTTCCAAAAGGTCAACAAACACTTCTGCTCCTGAGAGCAGAATATCTCAAACATACACAGAATCACAGACAGCTTTAGTACCAGCAGTAGGCACCCACACTCAAGGGACACACAGAGACCTACATATAGAGCCAGACACACTTGGGGTGACAGTAACATACAAGCCACATACATCAACAAACCGCGGCTCCCGGACTTATACAAGCTTAGCCATACACCCAGACCCACGTGCAAGTATTCCCACCTCTCCCTCCAGGGCAGGGGCTCTGGATCAGGCTAGCCACCAGTCTGAGGGGTGCGTCTGGGCGGGGCTGGGAGGCTGAACACGTGGCACCCCGGGACGGGGGAGGCAGCAGAGGACAGGTGGGTGTGGAGCCCCGGGGAGGGGTGCATGCAGTGGGGGATGTGGATGTGGGGCCGGGGGGCCCGAGCGCCTCCGCCAGACACAAGGCCGGGGCGATCGAGGACAATGAGGGAGGCCGGCTGGGGGCGGACGCAGGAGCCCGGGAGGCTAGCGGGATGGGGGTAGGGTGGGGTGCAGCCAGGCCAGGGGCAGCGCCGGCGCCTCGCTCACCAGGTCCTGGGCTGGGATCTGGGGCGGCGCGCGGGCGGCCCCTTAGCGGGGCTGGGGCTGGAATGTCGGGGCCCCGGGCTGGGGGCTGCGCGCGCCCTCCTCCTCTCACCCAGCGCTCGGGGCTCAGCAGGGGGCGCCGCTCCAGCTCGGGTAGGGATACCGGCTCCGGCAGCTGCGGACGGCTCCGTCCCCCATGGCCCGGCCCCACCGCCCGGTCAGCGGTCCCCGCGGCCCCGGGGCCACCTCCCGCCGCCGCCGCTGCCGCCGCCGCCGCCGCCGCGGCCGCCGCGGGCCATGGAGCCGAGCCGCCCCGGGAGGCAGGGCGGGGCCGGGCAGACCCGCGGACCGGCGGACCGACGGACCACTGCGCTGCCGCCTCCCTCCCGCGCTACGGCTCCTCGGAGGGGCAGGCCAGGCCCGCGCGCCCGCGCGCGCGCCCCCGCGGCCCCCGCCTCCAGCGCTCCCGCACGCGCCGCGCGCCGCTCCACCGCCCGCCCCTGCTGTTGGCCCTGCGCGGCCCAACCAGCGGGGAGACGTTGATGCGGATGCCTGAGACCCAGGAGAGGCGCGGGAATCAGTGAGGTTCCTCCACCAGCTTGCCTTAGGAATGGAAAGAGGTCAGGAGCCGGCTGGCTAGGTCCCTCAGCTCGCTGGGCCGGGGTCTCGATAGTGGGCGACTCAGACACGGGGTTAGGGCCTTGCCAACTCTTTCATGGGCGCAGGATTCAAGGTCAGCCAACCAGGGCTGCCTGCTGGGTAAGCCCCTTAAAGGTGTTGACTAAAAATGACTTCTGGGGTAGGAGCAGGTTGGGTAAGATTAGGAAACAGTCTAGAATTGGATAGGTATGGGCGGAGTTGAACAGGGCCCCAGGAATTGAGACCAGAGAAGAGGTTTCTGGAAGAGTTTAGGTGTTCATACAGGACTATAAAGAGAAGCAAAAAATTGGGCTCCAGGAAGACAAGCTGTAGGGAGTCTCAGGAGTTCGAAGCCTGAAAGGTGAACTAATTAGCTAATTAGTTTGGGTCCAGTGCATAAGGGTCCAAGGGCATAGGGCTAGGAAGATCCTAGAGCTCAGACTTTTCAAGGAAGAGGCTCCCTGCTATAGCCAGCCTAGCACCCTGCCCTCACCACCCAGGGGCTAGCACTGTCCAGAGCAGAGATGGTGTGTACAGAGATAGAAAGTTACAAGAGGTTGACGTGAGCGCACAGGCCCTACCCTTCCTCTGTGAAAGGTGTCGCAAAGGGCCAACAGAAGCCTCAATGACCGGGACAAATAACAAGTTTATTTCACAAACACTAGGAAGAGGGGCTGGATGGGGGGTAGAGGACACAGGTGCACAGCTGTACACAGTCACCATCAGCAGCCCACCCCCCCAACACTGGGGTTCAGTCTGGACTGCAATGCCTTCGAAGTCAACAGGCAGCAAGAGGTGAGTGCAGGAGGGCCCTGAACACCAAGCCCAGGAAAGGCTAAGGGACACAGCTCCAGCTGTCCCAGGAAAACCAGCAATAAATAACAGTGAGGCACGGCCCCACTAGTACAGATCATCTAGTCACCCATCTTCACTCTGGAGGTCTGCAAAAGAAGAACAGGACAGATCAGGCAGCGGCAGTGATAAGATCAGAACCAGCAAGACCGTGGGTGGACAGACAGACCACAGATGGATGACCATGCAAGGACAGACACACTGACAGACAGGCATGGACAGTGCCAGTGTCCCCAAGAGTCAACCCAGTCATGTTTAGACCTTCAGGCTGGTCTTTTAGTCACAAACCCACACACTGACAAAATACAGAGTTCAGACATGCCAGTCTACTGACAGGCATGTCACGTACATATGCACATAGACCCAAGTGCCTATCAAGTCACGACTGTCACAGATATCCCACACCAGGCTTTATCACAAAGAAGACATTTCCAGAGGCGGCAGCAGAGAGGGAAAGGATGGAAATAGAGGGGCTAAAGGACAGATAAACACAAAGCAACAGAGAGGGGGAACCAGGAGATGGGAAGAGTTCCACAGTTACGGGTGGAGGGGGGAGGGGCTTCTATTGCTCTCAAGCAGAGTAGGGCTGGGGACAAGGACAAAGAGACCACAGTTCCCAGGGGGAATTCAGCACCTGAAGGATTGCGACGATGACCCCAAAAAGGCCAATGGCACTGCCAAAGATCTCCACGATGAGAATCTTTACAAAGAGGCTGGGGTTCTGTGCATCAGCTAGGGCGGCCCCACTGCCCACGATGCCCACGCAGACTCCACAGAACAGGTTGGAAAGCCCGACTGTGAGGCCAGCCCCAAACATGGAGTAGCCTGGAGGATAAAAGGCAGCTCGAGTGAGGCCAGGACAAGCACAGGAGATGCCGCCCCACGGGCTGATGGGTCATCCCACCCCAACTCTGTAAAGCAGGCCAAAGCAGCTGAGAATCTAAGAGTCTGAAGCTGGGAAGTCGGAGCGAGTGTGTAGATGAGGGTGTGGGGATGTCTCACTACGCAGTTATGTAGTGCTGGCTGGCTTCTTAACTCTGCCTGCCACTGCCTCCCAGTCACGGGATAAAAGGCCCATACCACCATGCCTGGCAAGACGGAGCTTTTTGCTACCCACTCACCTGCATGGTAGTTTCGATGGCCAATGGCCTTGGGGTCAGTAGCACTGAAAGGCTGAGGAGGACAGGCCATCAGAAACCATCCCTAATGCACCTACCTTCCCTCTCCTCCAATCTTTAGGCAAAGCATAAACCATTGGAATGGATGCCTTCCCCTCTGTTTTTCTCTTACCTCAGCCATGTTGCTAATGACAATTGCCATGATGATGCCATAGATGGCCACAGCTTCACAGAAGATAATGCTGGCAATAGTAATGGTAAAGGTGGGGGGTGGGGTGGAGAAAAGAGGTGAGAAGGAATCAGCCATTTCTTCAGAAGATCCCCAGCCAACTTTCCTTGACTCATGATGACAGATTGGTCAGGAGCCAGTATGTCATCAGACCCCCATCACAGCTGGTTTTGACAACCCAAAGCCCTCAGACTTACCTAACCAAGTTCTTGGTCTTGATTCTGGGGGCCTTCACCCCACCCCCAATGATGGAAGAACCGGTAATATAGATGCCCCTGAAGGAAGGGTAAGAAACGGATGAAAGGAGCCCAAGTAGTCACTGTCCCCAGGATGATTAAGAACCCAGTGACACCACGGGCCACGACTCAGAGCCTCCCACTCACTAGTCCCACCGTCCCAACACTCACCAGGCTGCTCCAACCACAGACAGGGAGATCGCTAGGCCAATGCCCAGATTCGACCACATGAAGGGAGAAGTTTCGGTCAGGAACCTAGTGTGGGAATAAGGAAGAAAGCCATTCGGCTGTGGTCAGGCAAGGGCAGGGCTGGGGAGAGCACACCAACTCAGCTCCCACCCAGCTCCAGCCCACCAGTCCTGGATGCTGCATCGATAGACTATTTCCCAAAGGTCTGTGTGTCTGAAGAGCTGGGCTAGGGCTCAAACTCCAGAAAGAGAGGGGCTCCTGGGAGAATCCCTTACCATGCCACATCAAAGCGGAAACCCAGGTCAAAAATGGTGTAGCAGATTCCTGCAGCAATGAGAAAAGGAGTTAAGGGCTGCACTTCTGAGACACATTCCCCAACCTCGAGAAACACTGCCCAACTGCCCGACACATCTAAGAAGAACCCCGGAGCGAAAGAGCACCTCCGCCCAGGCCTCCATTTTTTTTTTTCTTTGCCACTCCCTAGGTAACCCGTCTTCCTCAGTGACACCAAGCCCCTCCACGGGCGGGCGTGGGGGGGGGGGGTCGGGGAGGGGAACAAGCGCTGCGTCCAGGCCGCGCCAGATCCCGCCGGCCCAGTTGCTGTTTACCCAACAAGCTGTGAAGGGGGAGGGCAAGGAGAGAAAAGAGGAAGCAGGGCGCCCAAGTTTGCGGCTCGAGGACAAGAGGGGGCCGGCAGTCACGACCCTGGAAGGGCCAGTGTGGCTCTCACAGCCCGGGGTCGGCCTCCTATGTTGCGGTAGGGCACGGCGCTGGGCCGGCTCTGGCTGCCACCTGCCCCCGCCCCAGCCGGCCAGCTCAGCCAGCCCGAGCCCCGCTCACCCACGACGATCATGCAGGCCCAGAAGGCCACAAAGATCCCGGTGTAGAGCAGCGCCAGCCCCGTCATGGCGGCAGCGACGGCAGGGGTCGGATCGGTGGGACCTGAGAGAACACCGAGACCACCGTCCGCCCCGCAGTCTGTTGGCCCGCCCCGCAGTTCCACCTGACCGACGCATGTGACGCGCCAGCTCACGTGACCCCCGCGCACAGTGGCTGGCCGGCTGCGGTCGGGCCGCGGCCGACGTCGTGCCGCTGAGCACTGTGGTAGTTGTAGTCTCGCCCGGCGCTCTCCTCGCCAGGTACAGGCTCTCCACCTGAGCTGCCTGTTCCCTAACCTGTTCACTGGACTTGCGGTTTATTCTCCAACCGCTGCAGATCCTTCCGGTCTTTTCTAGTCCTACCTAGTTCTAGGAAGGTGCTGGACTGTTCCCTCTGCTTGGAGGAGGATTTCATGGCCTTCACACTGGCGAGCTAACACCGGATGGTCATCAGAGGTCATTCTAGGTTGCTTTTCCCAATCCAGAGGCAGGGTGGAGTGCCAGCTGTGAGCCCCCATGATGTCCAGGTGGTGCTTTCAGGGCCATGCCATTCTCCTGCTCAAATGCCCCTTGGTTCCTGTTTCACTCAGAAATACCGTATGCAAAGCTGCTGCGCTCCCAGGCCTCTCATACATTCTGCGGCCAGATTACTAGCTATTCCTCGTCAGTCATACCCCTCCCTCGTTTCTGTAGCACTTGTTCACCCTGTTTCTAGTTGCTCATGTGCCCCACTCTCTAACTTCCAGTCTTTGCTCACCTTCAGAGGCCTTCCTTACCCACTCTGTGTAATTTCCCAACCCCTCTCTCCCTCTAGCTTCCTCTTTTGCAGCTTTGTGCTTTCCCATAATCTTATCACCACTTGATATACTGCGTTTTGTGTCTGTCTGTCTATCCTCCCCAGGAGGTGGAAGCACCATGGTTTCTGTTGTACTCACTGTGTGTCTAGTGCCTGGCATACAGATGGGTCCTCTGGACATGGTAGAATACATGACTGGTGCTCACTTTAACCCGGTTCCCATGGCGGTTTACAGCTCCGCCTCTACCATTAGCCTGGACACCACATGATCTGGACAGTGCCAGTATAAGATTCTTGGGTAAAGTGGACAACGATAGGTAAGTTCTGCTGGGATTCAATAAACACACCCCAGTGCTGGGAATTAAACCCTAGGGCTTGGGGTTCAATAAACACACACACACACACACACACACACACACACACACACACACACACACACACACCATTGCTGGGAATTAAACCCTAGGGCCTACACGTTACGGTAAGCACTCTGCCAAGCTACCCCTCCAGCCCAGCAACTCTACTTTGGTTGAAGCACCCACCATGTTGACTGGTCTGTGTTTAGGTCCAAATGTTCTTTTCACTCTTTTTATTCTGACAGTATTTTTTTTCTCTACAAGATCCAGCTTAGGACTCCCCTGTCTGGGATGCCTCTTGAGTCCCTTTCAGGAGCCTGCTATGAGATCCAGCTGCCCTTGGGGCTCCCTTCTTCACATACAATTCTATTCTATGGGGTCACTATTTCTTCCCAACCACACTTTGAGGACAGGAATCTGGTTAAATATAACTCCCATATCCATCCATCGGAACTGTGTAGAACGGAGGTTTGATGAGTAAAGAGAAACAAGAGGAAAAGTATTCAGTTTATTTCAGTTTCTTTGGTTCCCCTAGAGACAAGTCTGCGTCAGCATAGCCCAGCACTGTCCCACAGAGCTTTGTACTATGACAGAACTGTCCCACATGTAGCCATGTGGGCGCTTTATGTGATCAGTGTAACTGAGAAGCTGAGTTTTTCATCCACTTTAAAATCGCAAAAGCCGTGTGTCTAATGAATACTGTCTTCGTGTGGGTCTAGATGAGTGGTTCTCAATTAGAAGCAGTTACATCTGCCAACATCTGGAGATAATCTGGGTTGTCACAGCTTGGGGGTGGGGGTGCTTCTGCTCAAGCTAAACATCCCACCATATACAGAATAGCCTCTGCAGTACAGAACTACTCTACCCAGAATGTCAACAGTGCTGAGGTGGAAGAACCCTGGTCTGGATCATCTAACTCCTGCCCTTGAACAAGGGCAGAACTACACCTGCACACCAGGAACTGGGGTCAGCCCCAGGCCCAGGCTGCTGATAGATGGGCCCAGGAAAGCCCTGGAACTTTTCCCCCACCTGTCAAACAGGCGTTTATTGCACTGATGTGTGCTGAGGCAGAGCCAGGGCAGGCCAGACAGCACCTCACGGAGGGGCTACCTGCATTCCCTCTGTCCGGGCTCCTTCAAGTATCAGTGTGAGAGGACGAGACGCTGGTTCAGGGAGCACGCGGCCGCAGATGTGTCTCTCTGTGACTGGCCACGGATGGTGTCAGCTGCTCCCCTCATCCTCATAGGCGATGGCAATACCCCGTCTTCCGCTGACAGCTTCTTTCACTGGTGTCTGGCCCAAGCGGGGCTCCAAGCCCTGCCAGCTCCGGGAACTAAGGAACGAAGCTGCAGAAGGAATGAGAACAAGCTGTGTGGGCTGGACCTGGACAAGAAGCTAGCAGGGGCGGGTATTAGCACGCTTACCTGCAGGGCTGCTCTCTGCCAGCTCCAGCTGGGGCCTTGGAGTTAGGGCAGAACACCCAGTGCCATTTGATGCCTTCCAAGAAGGTGGCGGTCGGAGTTCCCCAGAAATGAGCGACACGTCTGGGGTGCTCCACAACTCGGACTCAGGTGGTGGGAGGGGCACGTGGAAGGGAGAGCCTGAAATGGACAGGAAAGATAGCTATCCTGGCTCCTTGACTCCGAGCCCCAACTTTCAAGCTGAGATGCGGCCCCACCACTCACCGGGCAACAGCTCTGCATAATGTGTGAGGTGGGGAGCCAGGCCTGGAGGTGGCCAGGCAGGGTTACAGGCAGCCTCCAGTTCACATGGTGTCAATACAGGCCGCAAGAAGCCACCTGAAGGTTGGGGGGCTAGGGCTCCCAGAGGACAGGCCAAAAGCACAAAGATGTCCATCTCAGGGAAGTTGGCAAGCTTAGCAGGCGTGGGCCTCCCCAGGGCCAATACATAGCTGCGCTTTCCAGCGGCCTCCGTGAGTTCCCGCAAGTGTGCCAGTGCCTCGCGGTGCTGAGCTACACCCAATGTGCCCGCCAGCAGCCCTACGACACGGGCATCTCTGGCCCTCTCGACAAGATACAGTCTTCGTGCTCTTAGCCGCCCAGCCTGAGCACCCTGGTGTTGTGTCTGCCCTGTGTCTGGACAGCAGGAAATGAAGGGTCGTCCTGGTGTCCACCCCAAGAGCAGTCTGCTCAGATCCGGATCGAGGATGGGGTCAGAGCTGGCTTGAGAACCTCCCACATAGAAGGCACCATATTCTTCCAGACACCTTCCTGGGCTCAGGGGAAAGCGTCGTCCAAAACGCTCCAGGGGCTCAGGCTGTGAACTTGGGGACCCCACTGGCAGGGGAAGAGCTGGGCTGGAGATGAGCAGATCTCGGTACTTGGGGCGCAGGAGAGTGGCCAAAGCCTCTGAAAGAGAAGGAGATGGCGTCAGAGTTGAAGTCTGGCAAAGCAGGAGATGCCTCGTCCCCAGGTGACTAAATGTGACCCTAAGTACAAACTAAGCTAAGCAGCTATCAAGAGCTCTATGGAAGTGTGCTTAATGGGGTAAATTAAGGCATGCAGCCACGGACCTACCCCTCCTCCCATCGCAGGTATAATCTCTCACCTAGGGCATGGGCACAAGCTGGCTCACTCAGCAGTACCACCGGTGCTGTGGGATCTGGGTTCTGGGCTTCAAAGGCCTTTGCACAGAGCTCTAAGGCAACAGAACGCTGACCAAGAACGAAGGTGACAGGCAGCAGGCGGGCAGGGGGGCTCAAGCAGGCAGGACCAAAGTGGACAAGGGCTTGAGCGCCAGCCTGCTCAGCACCCAGTACATCCACACAGCAGCTGCAGGAGAGAGAATGTTGGTGAGAGGCGTTCCCTACCCGGAAAGGGTTGTCATCAATGGGAAATGTGGCCAGTGGGGGACATGGTAACATGTTAGGAATTCACTGTCACTGAGGGAAACTGGCATGAGGAGCGTCTCATCATAATGTAAACACAGTCACTGGAGGCAGACACTGTCAGCAAGGTAACCCCACGGGGCCTGGATCCTCAGACCTGACCACTTACTCCCAGCACAAGTTCATACCTGCCATAGGCTGTGTCCCCTAAAATGAACATCTTAGATCCTGTGACTTCCTCCAGCCGTGCAGCCACTGCTCCGGCATCTCCCAGTAACTGGTCAGGGAACTGTAAGGCCACCTGTAAACACAACCATAACGTCAGCAACAACCAAACTCCTCCACCAAGGGCGTCTACAAAAGAAACATTCAACTTTCAAAGCTCCTACTTCCAGAGGGACACTCCGCCCCACGGAGTGGCGGTGGTCCGTTCCACGCGGGCGGACTCCGACCTCAACCCACCAGTCCTCACGTAGCATCCCAAATCCCAATCCCTCAATCCATGCCCAGAGGCGAACCAACCCTCCCTTTCTAAGTTGGCCCTCACCCGCTGACACCCTAAGTCGCAGACAAATTTCGTGACTCGCTCCAGTTCGTACACTCGGTCGAGGTCTTCTGGAGGGGTGAACAGTCCTGGGACGCCCGCCTCCCGCTGAAGGGCCTCCTCGGCGGGGCTGCTGAACGTAGACTCCATGGGGCACAGCTTGGGTGGGGCGAAATGCAGCTGCGCCCTCAACAGTCCTCGAGGTCACAGCAGTTTTGTTTGTGGCTCGGGATCAACCTGGCCACGGGCCCTAGGATCCACGTCCTACGCTTCCAAACTCCCGGTTCTCCATTGCACATGGACCTGCGGAGATTACTTCCGGGTTGAGGCGTGCCCACAGAGAACCAATCACCAACCTCATACTCAGGACCAATCGGAAGTGCCGCGAAGCCTTGTGGGTGTTGTGGTTCCACAGGCTACTTCCCGGGTACTCTCAGGTCAGCCAGCCGGTGCCCTATGGAACGTCCTTTCCTTTGGCCACATTAAGTACCTCATGTGTAATAAAGTTTGTTTTTAACGTGTGTGTGTGTGTACATGTGCATACAGTGAGAGCAGAGGTCCCTGAAGATCCAACTCAGATTGGGCTGC